ATATTTTTCATAACATATACAGTATGGAGTATTCAACAATATTGCGGAAGCGATTTTAATATTGACATATCATAAATTGTTTCAAAACTTGTCACATCCATCCCGACAATCTCGCCCCATCTGCCGCCAGGATCACATTGTGCTTTTTGCTTACCTACGTGTAGCAAATAAAACACACTACACGCTCAGCGGTAAAGCTGAGTAAGCATATCTAATGCGTCGAACATCCATATAAACTGAATCTAAATTCATAATCAAATCATTTGATATCATGCACACAATGTTCATTTCAGACATTCACAGTTTTGGTATTGTTCAGTTTATATGAATACATTTTATTCAATTCAGATACTATTTCAATAGTGCTCTTAAATTATTCTTAATCTAAGGCCAGATTATAACAATGCTCTTAGCTATTCTTAGTCTAAGGCCAGATCATAATAATGCTCTTAGCTATTCTTAGTCTAAGGCCAAATCATAATTTCCATAACCAGATTCTTTTAAGGCAATTATTAATCACACACTTAAACTATCATTAGTTTAAGGCAATTGATTTCGGACACTTAACTGTAGTCAGTTAAGGCAATCAAACACTTAAACTATCACTAGTTTAAGGCAAATGATTCAGACACTTAACTGTAGTCAGTTATGGCAACAAATATATAGCAATTGATCAACATTAGATCGGGCATTCCCAAACGAGTGATCCTCTAGTTTTGTCTATGAATCCCATTTATGCGTTTTTATCTAACTCATCAAATGTTCATGTTTTCATAAGCCTATTCTAATACAAGATCTATTCTAGAGGTCTTCTAGATAGCCTTAACATCAATTAACTAATAGGTATGTCTTAGAGTTCTTCTAGATACTGTTTAACAATACAAATCGTTTAATAATTATCAATATATTCATTACTCTCATGGCTGAATCATCAATAATCATTTTGATCAGTTAGTTCATTATTCATGATCATCCATAATAATCATTCATCATAATCATTAATCAACATAACAATTGATAAGAAATAGCGGTCTAGTTTTGAGTGTTAACACTCAAACTTACCGTCATGCATCACATAATGTTTTATATGCCTATAACATCATTTTTATTATACAAAATCATATTTGTATTGTTCATAATTAATTGTTATCAAAAATAGGATTTTAGAGCATATTTTCAGGAACATTTTCGTATCAGGATCTGGAATTGAGGAAAATAATTTAAATAATCAATTAATTCATAATAATCAATTTTTACAATACAAATAATCAATTAATTCATAATAATCGATTTCTACAATATAAATAATCGATTAAATGGTACTGACTTCGAACCACTAATCTGAATAAATATCTAATCGATTTTTAGTAAGTAAATAATTGATTTTCGGCCACTGTTCATCATCTTCTTCCTCGGGTCAGTTTGAACATTATCTTTTTTAATCACCAAACTTCAATTTAATTATATAAAAATGTTCTCCAATGTTCACAGGTCATTAATTCGTAATTTTAACAATAATTTCATGGTTTATGATTCTTGGTTCTTCAAACATGTCAAACACAAAACTCAACCAAACGACCATTTATGAACGTAGAAACGATCTATACGAACATTCTAGTCACTAGATATATCTACGGGCTTACCTCGAAGCTTATCAAATGTTTTGAGAATTTTCCAGCGCGGCGACCTCTCACCAAATTGACGACACCAATGAACTCTCCACTAAACAAGGAACACAATGATACTAAACTTACTAAGTTTTGGTGCAGAAATAGAAGCTGGTTTTTCCTCCTTATATAAGAAAATGGAGAAGGAAGAAGACAATCCTGTAGCTAGTTCTGCGTAGGAAATGACTCACGATCGGCTGAGTGGAGGAGGGGGCGCCGTCTGCACAGTCTCCCTGATTAGGACCAATTTTGGTTCCAGTCGGGGTACACTTTTTGGTCCAACATTCTCCAAATTGAAATCCGTTTGCACCGTTGCAATCGTGCAGTTAAACTCTATCCAACGATATAATTTTCATAATTATTTGTAATACTTTTTCTGACATCATATTTTTTTTAGTGTTTGACTTTGACAGAATCAAAATTGGTTTAATTGACCTTTCTCATAAAAGGTTCTTTTATTTAATTCATATAAATTATTCTCATGATTTGTTTCAATAAATCATTACAATGTTCACATGATAATTAATTTATTCATTTATTCTTGATTTGGGTCTGTACTCAGGTTCCCAATCAAGACCACACAAATAGTCCACATATTTGATTTATCTCTATGAGACTTATCCAGATTTTGATATTGGATGTCAAAACACATTTCGTACCGGCCCAAAGCCCAACAATACTTTATTTTATTCATTGATAATTCTAGGGTATGTTTTGGGGCGTTACAGATGTGATGTTTGATAGTTGCCGCATCTATGATGGGTATATTTCCCTTGTTATTTATTATGTCATCATTGCCATCTCTGATTCCTTCATCCCTTTCTTCCACAATTTCTTGGTGGAATCTGACCTCAAAGGCATGCTGAGTAAGATCCAGATAGGGGTTCTTATCCGGGATAGAGTCAAGCTAGGAGTTGTTGGTTGTGGTTGGAGGACTTTCAGAGTAAAGTGCACTTGGGGTTTGATCTAGTTCAGTTAGGGTGTTTTGTGGTTGAAGGGAGGTTGGTGGCTGTTTGCTAACAGAAGATGGGATGGAGTTGGTCTCAAATGATTGACCCTCCAAAGCAATTTTTTTTTGCCTGGTTTCTTTTGGATTTTCACTTTCTTGATGGTTGATGAAGGTGGTCCCGGGGGCCTGTCCATCCAAGACAGTGGTTTAGGGTTGGGATTGTTTGACAGTATTGGTAGGGATGAATTTTTGCTTGGCTGGCTGAGTTTTGGTTGTATTGATTGGCACTGTAAGGGAGGAGGGGCCCACATCACATGGGTTTTCCTTTGGATGGCTTTTTCTGTCCTCAGGCTTTGTCATTTTGTTGTTTGGAACTGATGCCTTCTCCATTGAAGGTTTCTGGTAATGCTTGCACTCAGGTTCATGCCTTTCAATTCCCCTGCATGTTTTGCAATAGGCTGGGAGATTTTTGAATTCTGCTTGTAGGAGCAGAGGGAATTCCCCATTTTTGACATAGAATGTGTTCTGTGTAGGTTTGGAAAGATCAATTTCCACACAGAATCTAGCCACATAGGGTCTATTAAAGTTCTCTGTAGTAGAGTCCACTTTGATAGGCTTTCCAAAAATGTTAGCTATAGATAAAAGTGCTGTAACACCCCGGCCCCCACCCTGGCCGTAAGTGTTCGCTCATAGGATTGTAAACTGTCCCCACAAACCAACACAAGTCTTTCCCGCACACTTTGTCCTCACTCGTGCGCGCCCAAGGAAAACTTCCCAGGGGGTCACCCATCCTAGAATTGTTCTAGGTCAAGCATGCTTAACCTTGGAGTTTCTAGATGATGAGCTCTCGAAAAAGAAGATGCACCTTGTTGGTATGAGTAGGTATCAATCCTTTTGAGCTCTTCCCATTCCCATCTTGATACGGGGTATTACATTCACCCCCACTTAGGAATGCAACGTCCTCGTTGCATCCTTTTTTTTTGAACCCATAGATCTTCCCCGCTAGGTGAACTAAGCTCTTCTGGCCCGTCACGGTCGCAGGGTTGCTCTGATACCATTTGTAACACCCCGGCCCACACCCTGGCCGTAAGTGTTCGCTCATAGGATTGTAAACTGTCCCCACAAACCAACACAAGTCTTTCCCGCACACTTTGTCCTCACTCGTGCGCGCCCAAGGAAAACTTCCCAGGGGGTCACCCATCCTAGAATTGTTCTAGGTCAAGCACGCTTAACCTTGGAGTTTCTAGATGATGAGCTCTCGAAAAGAAGATGCACCTTGTTGGTATGAGTAGTACTATCAATCCTTTTGAGCTTTTCCCATTCCCATCTTGATACGGGGTATTACAAGTGCTCTCTTGTCGTGGAAGTGGATAGGTAGATTAGCAATTGATATCCAAACAGGTATGATAGGGGTTACCTTACTGGGATCAAATTCTGGTGTCTACTTGGTGATTTGCATGGAAGCTCCTTGAACATTCCAATTCTTTCTCAGGAAGAGCCTTTGATAGTCTTTTTCTAAGACAAAGTTGAATAGGACATGGGATGAATGCAACAGGGTAACTACAAAACCAACAAAACCAATTTTTTCTACCCAGCTTCGGATACTGGCTAGAGGGGGCCTTGTGTCAAAGAAACTTCCTACCAGAGCATACTGAAACCTGGATGCAAGTGTTTGCACTTCTTCCTTAGTGAAGGAGATGCATGGAAGACCTTTAAACTTCTCAATATTTTTTAAAGGAATGGGAGGAGGGGTGGAAGAGACAACATCTCTAAAGGACTTAGGGTGGAGAGGTGTGGGTGTAGAAGACGGGGGAGGTGAGGGAGTGGCAGGTAGACTGACCGGAGGTTTGGCCGGCGGCCCGGAGGCCGCCGCCCCTGTTGTGGTGGACATGCACATTGGCAACAAATTCAAGGCCTTGGAGTATTCTATACTTTTACAGAATGAAGAAGAGAAGGAACTTCCAAGGTCTAAACAAAAAATAACTCCGGGACCAAAACAAGAAGCTCCAAAATCATACACTGCACGAGGAAGGATTTCTTTCATACTCAACAGATCCAGCCACTGGGAAGTCCATTCCCATGGTTAGTTCCAAAAGCTATCATGGCCGCTAGTCCATTCCCATGGTTAGTTCTAAAAGCTATCACGGGAGAACATCGTAAAGATGGAAAAAGAGCACGTACGGCCTTACCTACACAAATCCCTCCTGACTATGATTACTCTTCAGGAACAATTCATCTGGGAATTGTAGTTTGGATGTAATTTCTTTGCTTTGTCTACCACTTTTGGATAGTGTTTTGTTCTTCTCTTTATATATATATATATATATATATATATATATATATATATATCTGTGTGTGTGTGTGTGTGTGGTTCCCCCCTGTAGAGATGGTCACAGGGTTGATTGACGAACCACACCACCCGGGTTCGATCCTCAGAAAGGGCAACTTTGGGGGAATTTTAAGGGAGTTAAGCGTGCTGGCCATGGAGTAGCAGAAATGATGGGTGACCCCCTGGGAAGTGTTAGCAGATTTATGGGGTTGGTCTTTAGATTGGGCTTTCATTGGGCTTCTTATAGTGGGCTATCTGCCTCGGGTGTTTAACGGGCCCCGGAGCGGTCACGAGGTTAACGGACCTCGGGCCCCCTGCTTGTAACCGATCGTTCCAATAATATTAATAAAAAAAATTTAAAAAAAAAATTATATATATATATATATATATATATATATATATATATATGTATGTATGTATGTATGTGTAGATATATGTATGTATGTATGTATGTATGTATGTATGTATGTATGTATGTATGTATGTATGTATGTATGTATGTATATATATATATATATATAATGAAAATTTTATCGTTATTTAATACGGAAGAAAACCAAAGATGCATCAATGATTAGAGCCCCCCTGACATTTTTGGGTAGATGCTCCAATTGAGAATAATAAGTGCTGAAATTGTTATTAAGTGTAAACTTTGCGAGGTTGTGGGTCGCAGTGTTTGCTTCCCGATAAATGTGACTTATTTTCCCCCCTAATTTTTGTATTGTTTCCATGATTTCTTTGTGGGAGGAGTTGGATGATTCTTTAATTTTTCTCACCCCATTCTTTGAGTCCATGTAGAGATTAATAGGTTGACCAAGAAATTTGCTGCCTTTGACTCCTAGCGTTGCTGCCTTTACCTCACCTTGTTCTAGGTCTGTTTCACCCTGCGAAATTTTTGTCCATGCTCCAATGAAATTTCCGTTTCTCTGCCGGATGATCGCTGCTGCTGCCATGTGATCATGGGAAATTGCAACATCAGTGGTGACGCAGAGTCCTTGCTTTGGGAAAATCCATCTGAAGGTCTGTATTGCTCCCATCTTTGTGACTGGTAGATGGCTAGTGATACTATTTCCTTTCCCTTTAATTGCGCTATACTCGTAAATTTGTTTGATGATTTGGTGTTCTATCTGGGCTGTTGTATGTTCATCCTCATTGTAGATGCAAAAGTTCCTCTCTTTCCAAATAGCGTGCATTATAAATCCTGGTAGTACAACTTTTAGGTTGTAGTCCTTTTTGTTTTTTTAGTTGATTCCACCAATTTAACAGGAAACTTCTTATGCCATGGTTGACACTTCTGTGAATTCCAAAGAGTTCCTCAAAATAATTCTAAATTTCTCTGCTGAAAGGGCATTCGTGTAAGGAGTGCCATGTTGATTCTTCACTATACCTGCACAAGAAACAGATTGATGGGAGGTTATATCCCATCTTTGTTAGTTTTTGGGCGTACGGTAGGAGACTATGGTAGAGTTTCCAGAGGAAGGTGGAGACTTTGGGTATTTGGGTGGGGTTCCATATGAAGGACATTGCAGGTATGGGTGGGTTGTGGGGTCTTAGGTTCTTTGTTGCAAGTTTAATGCTGAAGTCCATTTCCCCAGTGTTCCATTTAACTGTGTTGTCAGCAGTGATGCCTAATGTGAGTGGTGTTTTTTCATTAATTGAGCAAAGTCTTCTCCATGTGGGTGAGTGAATTGCCTGGGGATGAATGTTGATTCCTCTTGGATATCTGTTTCTCATGTAGGCTGCCCAAAGTGAGTCATTTTTTATGTAGTTCCACCACATCTTAAGACCATAAGCTTCCTGTAGTGTGATGAGGGAAGTGAGTCCCAATCCTCCTTCTTCCTTAGGGTAGCAGATCTTTTCCCATTCCATCCAATGGTAGTTGTGTTTATCTTTAGTTCCCCCCCAAAGGAAGTTAGACATCTTCATGTGAAGAATATGGATGATCCTTTTTGGGAGTTCTGTGGATCCAAGAGTATGGATGGGGATGGAGCTTAGTACATGCTTGATTAGGATCACTTTACCACTTTGGTCAAGTAAATTTTTGTCCCATCCACTGAGTTTTTTCTCAAAATGCTGTAGGAGGGGTGTGCAGTATTGCTTCCTGTTGATCCCCCTGTGTATCTGGACACCTAGGTATTTGAAAGGAAGGGTTCCTTTTTTCATGCCTATTGTGTTTTGTTGCATGAGGGAGACATGTAAGGGGGTTTTACAGGGGCTGTAGAAATTGCATTTCTGTAGATTGACTATCTGTCCTAAGGTTTCCTCATAGTGTTTAAGAAAAGTCCTCAATCTGGTCAGATTTTGCTTCCCCCCCATTTAGGAAGATAATGAGGTCATCAGCATAGGCTAGATGATGGATATTCATGTGATTTCTTCCCATCTTGTAGGGCTCAAGTTTTCCAGATTGCATGAAGGCATTGAGAGTTCTGCTAAATCCTTCAGCAGCTATGATAAACAAAAGAGGGGAGAGGGGGTCTCCTTGTTTAAGTCCCCTCCCTGGTCTAAAAGGTTTAGTATTATGTCCATTGATGGAGATGGAGAGAAGAGTGGCTTCTAGAAGGTTATGAATGAGAAGTTGCAATTTTTTGTCAAAACCAAATCTGTCTAGTATTGACAATAGGTATTCCCAGGAAACTCTGTCAAAGGCCTTAGACATGTCTAGTTTTAGGACCAGGTTTCCCCCTCTTGTGTCATGGTTAATACCATGCAGCATCTCATGGGCTAGAAGTACTTGTTCATTTATGGACCTCCCTTTGACAAAACCCCCCTGCTCCTTAGAGATAACCTTAGGAAGAAGGTTACCCAGTCTTGTTGCAAGAATTTTGGGAATGATTTTTGCAGCAAAATTGGAAAGACATATGGGTCTGTAGTCTTCACAGTAAGATGGATTCTCTTTCTTGGGGATGAGAATAATAGTGGATAGTGCCATCTATTTTGGCATCTTGATTCCAAGGAAGAATTTTTGTGTTGCTTTAGTGACATCCTCCTTTATCCAATTCCAGTGCTTTTTGAAAAAGTTTCCATTGTAGCCATCTGGCCCTGCTGCACTGTCAGCTTTCAGAGCCCAGACTGCTGTTTTCACTTCATCTTCTAGGGGGAGTTGGGTAAGAAGGAGGTTATCCTCTAGGGTTATGAGGGAAGGGATGTTGATGGTGAAGGAATTATTGAGAGAGGTTAGTTCATGTTGAAATAGGGTTTGAAAGTGCTTGTGAAAGATGTCCTGAATTTCCACCTGGTTGCTTGACAAGTTCCCACTCTGGTTTTTGATTTTCCTAATGGTTTGATGGTGTCTTTTTTCTTTGACTTTAGAGTGGATGAAAGTTGTGTTAAGATCCCCTTCTTTTGCCCATTTTAGGTTTGCCTTCTATTTCCAGTATAGGTATTCATCATGTGCTGCTAGGGTTAGGTTTGCTCTGACAGCATTCATTGTCTCTCTGTTTTCAGGTGTTGGGAGGGTATCAAAGCTAGTTTCAGCATCTTTGAGTTGGTTTTCAAGGGATCTGACTCTGGAGAATATATTGCCAAAGGTGTGCTTGTTCCAGGTGCAAAGGGTTCTTTGTAAGGATTGGAGTTTTTGAGACAGACCATGCATTCCTCCACCTGTGTATCTGCCCCAGTTTTCTTCAACGAGTTTGTCAAAGGAAGGGTGGTTGCTCCAGCAGTTGAGGTATCTGAATGGTTTATGTCCTTTGAAGATTGGGTTGTAAAGGGAAACAAGTATGGGTGTGTGATCTGAACCACATCTGGCCAGGTGCTCAGAGGAGATGCTACTGAAATTGCTGGCTAGAATATGGTTGTGAAATATTCTGTCAATTCTCCTCCAGGTTCTTCCAAATGATCTGATTCCAGTCCAAGTGAATGGGGTACCAGAGTATTCAGGACTTAGGAGGGAGGAGTTCAGGATACAGTTATCAAAATCTCCAATGCTAGTCAGACAAGGGGATCTTTTGCCTTTGTGATGGTCTACAGAGGTAATACATTTAAAATCTCCCCCTAGAATCCATGGAACATCTATGTTGATGACTGTGGTATGGATGTTGTTCCATAGGGGAAGTCTGTCTATCTTGGAGTATTTGCCATAAACTGATGAGTGGAGGATGGGTGTGTTGTTTTGTTTTATAATGAAAGTAATGTTGGTGATTTGGTCCAGGTGAATATGAGAGATGTGATGCAAATGGCTATCAGACCACATGATCCACATTCTGTTATCAGAAGGGGAGATTGAGTGAGTGAAGCCAAAAAGTAGTTGGTAATGCTGGAGTTTGGTTGACTTGGCTTTGGGTTCAAGGATTGTAATTATATGTATTTTGTGTTGTTTGATTAGTAGTGCTAGCCTTTGGGATTTTGGGGCTACACCACAGGCATTCCAGAAGATGCAATTCATTGTGATGGGGTGGGGGGTGAACTGTTTGAGGAGGATTTGTCCTGTAGCCTTTTTGATTTTCTGATCGAGGAGGGAGGTGCTTTGCTGGAGGTGTGATCTGCAGAAAGGGGTTTAGGGAGCTGCAATCTGTGGGTGGTTTTTTTATTCTTAGAAGTCTGCTCTTCATCAGAAAGGAAATGAACATTGTTTTGGGCAGAGAGTGGTATATCCAGATCATCCTGAGATTGGTTGGTATCCAGAAGGGTTGTGACTGGTTGTGGTATTGCTATGATTTTAGGTTGGTGTTTGTCCCAGATTGAGATGCATTCTTTGAAGATGAAATCATGAAAAAGCAGGTCAGCATCTTCATCTGGTTCAATAGGTGTGGGTAAAATGGTAGGGGAATTTACTAACTGTGGGGTTTGAGTTTGTGTTGGGGGTGGGGGGGTCAGGTGTTTGTTTTGTAGTGTTTTGGTTTGTAGCTTGAATGGGAGTGGCTTCTTGGGTAGGGATCAAAGGGGTCAGGCTGATGATTTTGGAGGTAGAGGCTTGATCTGTAGTGAGTTGGATATAGTGTGTGGTGTTTTTTGGAGTGGGGTTCTGGATGGGGCCCTTGTGGAAGTTCTTAGTTGGCCCTTTGTTGATGGCCTTGTAGTGGAATCTTTCAGCTGGTTTTGATTCCGGCAAGGTATTCCGGGCAGGTTTAAGAGCTGGGTTTTTTTGTGCTGGGGGGGGTGCAAAATTTGCAACCATGATTGTGTCTTCCAACACCTCTGCATTCATGGAAGAAATGTGGAACATTTTCATAGTGTGCAGAGAGAATTAATGGGATTTCTCCATTTTGGACACAGAACATGGTTTTTTGTGGTTGTGAGATAACAACCTCAACACACACTCTAGCAAGAGATGGGCGTCCAAAATTTTCAGTGGTGGCATCCAATTTTATGGGCTTTCCAAACACCTAGGCTATGTCTAGCAAGGATTTTCTATCATGTAGGTGAATAGGTAGGTTTTTTATAGCCACCCAAATTGGAAGGAAAGGAGATTCGTACCTGGGATCAAAATTTGGTGTCCCTTTTGACACCTTCATTTCAAAGCTTCCAAGTTTCCATTCATATCTTTTGAAGCACCTTAAGAAGTCCTCGTCCTTGGTGAAATGAAGCAGCACATGGGTTTCATCTAGCAGTGTGACTGAGAAGTCTAGGAAGCCTATCTTTTCCAGGTGAGAACGGATAAAAGGGAGTGAAGGTCTACCATGGAAGAAGGAACCAACCACAGCTCTCTTAAATCTTTCAGCAAGGATTTCCACCTCTTCCTTCGTGAAGCTAACGCATGGGAGACCTTTATGCTTGATAACTGGCCTTTCCTACTCTATTTGTTGGCTGGGGATGTTGCAGCCTGTCACTGCCGCCAAGAAGCTTTTGGCTTGAGGAGTGCCAGCCTGTATTAAAGCCTTTTGCCGGAGGGGGCTGTCTGTTGCCCCTCTCCGGCATGTATTCCTGTCATGTGTAGAGAGAATTCCGATGTTGCCCCTCTCCGGCATATTATATATATATATATATATATATATATATATAATATATATATATATATATATATATATATATATATATATATATATATATATATATATATATAAAGAGCAAATTTTTATTGAAAAAAAAAGGCGAGTACAATAGGGGGGACTAGGCCAAAACCCCTGGGGAAAGAAAATAACTGGAAGAAAAGCAACTACGCGAAAAGAAAAGTGCATGGAACTGATCATTCCCAGATTATGAAGCCCGGGTGTTCATCAAATGTCTTGTTTTTAGGCATGACTTTTTTTGGCCTTTTCCCGTCTTTTCCAATTGGACCGACAGGGCCTACATTCCAAAATTGGCATGTGTAGCTCTCTGCTGTGATGATGCGTTCCATGGTTGTGGTTTTCCTGCTTGGCCAGTACTTTGGAACAAGGCTAACTATTCTAACTTCGAGAGTGGGATCGTAGTTCCTTGTTGTTACTGTTTGTGGGTTAGAAGGTCTCTTGCTTGTGTTCTTTGTGCGTTTGTGGTGGACTTCTTGGAAGTCATCAAGGTTGAGGTTGGAGGTCCCTTCAGAGTTAAATTGATGAGGAGAAGATCGTTTTTCAATAAAGTCATCAATTTGGTTAAGAGACATGTTCCCGTATCTTCCTGGGTTATTCCTTCGCATATTCTCTAAGACCTCTTTGTATCGTGGATCATTTTCGATTTCTGGATAAAGGAGCTCATCTTGCGGGAATTCTTCTATTGGTGGATCGAGATCTGTTGGTGGCAAGTCTTTATTTTCCAAGTGAAGTCTTTGAGGGTGTGGTGTTTCTTCCAGTGGGCTTTCTGTAGATGCTTTTGTGTCATCATTGATCACCTTGTTGCTTGAGAGTTCAGGTGTAGCATTGCTTATTGTGGAAACATCATTCGAAATCAGATTTTCGTGGGCAATAGATTGTTGTGGCAGTTTTTCAAAGCCTGTAACGCTGGGCAGTGTATTCCTAGAATATTTTTCAACATCTTGGGTTCCTTTTGTAACAGCTTCAGTAGCAATTTTTGATGCAAAAATGGCTTCATCAATGGCTTTGGCTCCTTCAACTTCAATAGGAGCTGCAGAATGGGTTCCTTCCGTAATAACAGTTCTAGCTGCAGAATCGGTTCCTTCATCAATGGCTTTGACTCTTTCATCAATGGTTTTGGCTCCTTCAACTTCATTAGTAGTTGTAGAATGAGTTCCACCAAAATGGGTTCCTTCCATTTCCTCGATGGCTTCGGCTTCATTTGGAATTTCAGTAGCAACTTGGGCTTCATTAGTTGCTTCAGTGGTATCCTCATCAGGGAAAACTGCAGGTTCAATATCAGTGCCTACACCCAATTGAGCATTATTTAAGATCAATTAGGCAGTAACCAAATGGGGCTGAATTTCAGTACCCTTGACATCTACAGTTTCTTTTGATGAGGCCTTAGCGTCTGTCTTGACCTCCCTTTAGATCCATCTTGAGGAGGAGTGTGATTTTTTACAGTTTTTGTGACCATATTTCCTACATGATGTGCAGAAGGCAGGAAGGTCTTCATAATGGATGGGTTGTAGAAAAGAAAGCTTCCCTAGGTGAATCCACACAGAGGTTGGCAGTTCCTTGGATAAGTCCAGTTCCACAAAAACACGAGCTACTGATGGTCTAGTTAATTGGATTGTAGCATTGTTTGCCTTTAATGGTTTCCCAATCAAATTGGCAATGGAGTAAAGAGCAGAAGAATCAAATATGTGAATTGGTAGACCTTCCATTCCTATCCAGACGGGTAGCAATGGGGATTCAACAGTGGGATCAAATTCAGGAGTCCATCTAAATACATTTAAGGAATAACCATTGATCTTCCAATTCTTCCGTAGAAGACACCGCAGAAAATCATTGTATGAAACGAAGGTAATCAAAATGTGTTGTTCATCTAGCAAGGAGACAGTAAACGAAGCTTCATATCCAATTTTTTCAAATACCTGACGAATTGTAGCTAGATTTGGTCTACCTTTGCGGAAACGTCCAACCAATGCTAGGTTGAATCGCGCAGCCAACCTTTTAAGCTCTTCATCAGTAAAAGAAACTGATGGTGACCCTTTAAATCGAGATGCTGGTTTGAAGTTCCCAGATGCTTCGATCTCTCTGAAAGAGATATCCATGGCGAAATGCAGCTTGCAGAGGAGATTCGACCGGGAATCGCCATTATCGCCAGAGCAGATCTAGAGAGAAGGTCTCCATTATATATATATATATATATACATATATATATATATATATATATATATATATATATAATGGAAATAAAATTAAAGCTAAATGACTCTTTTGCCCTTCTAGAACAAGGCCCAATTACTCCTTTTTAATCCTCTCCCGTCACCCCCTTCCCCATTTTCTTCGACAAACAGCGAGAGTCGGTGAAAGAAGAGTCACCTACGAAGGTCTTAACCCAACGTCGGGACTGTGGTTTCCGATGGGCGTGCAACGTAGAGCAGAGGCGGCGAAGGAGCGACAAACAACGACGACTTATGGCTATCTTCGGCAGCAACATGATGGCGACTCAGAGGTGACCTGACAGCGACGGGCGATCAATGGCAGAACCAATCCAGATCCGAAAAAATGACGATCCAAATTGATGGCGACTTAGTGTTTACCAGATCTATTGATAGAGCCTCAAGAACGCGTCCGATAAACCAAATCCAATTGATTGTTCGTTGCTCTTCGATTTTCTAGATTTGAATTTTTTTTCTTCAACTTTTTAGATCTGAAATTTAGATTTTGATGATATTTTTAATAAGCTGAGGTTAAAGAAGAAGAAAAGAAGAAGAAAACTACAGTAAAGAAAGATTAGAAGGGGAAGAGCAAAGTGAAGAAGAAGAAGGGGGGGGCTGAGGCGGGGTCGGATGGAAGAAAAGAAGAAAACTACACTAAAAGATACGATGGGGAGAGGAGAAAAGGTGAGGGTAAAACTGGAAAGTCAAACACTTTTTCATTCGACATTAAAAACCGTGCCAAGTCAAAACGAGAAGTTTCAACTGGGACGGAGGGAGTAAATATTAAAATGCCTCTAGAGAGAAGGGAGAGAATTCCGGTGACCGGTGTTGACTTCCGATCAGCAGAAAAACCGGGAACTCAAATAAATCAAAGCTATTTTCAGAGATCCTCAAATGCAACAATAAAATTCATGGAAGCATCAAACATGAAGGTATGGCTGGAGCTGTCCTCACCTTCTCTACAGAAGACATTCGGGACTTTGCAGAGAAATACAAATTTGGGATAATTGGAAGGTCGGCCAGGGACATTCCCAACAAGAAGATTGTTGAATCCTTACAAAGAGCTCAATTTGGGGGATTTAAAGTTAGCCTGCTACGGCAATTTCAAGTTCTTATCAACTTCAATAGGGAAGAGGACTATGTTCGTTTCCTTAGCAGAAGAACATGGAGGGTGGAGGAAGACAGACTTTATCTAGCAAAGTGGTCTCCCTCTTATTTACGGGCGGAAGACAACCCAGAAACTCTGATTTGTGTAACATTCAAGCGGTTGCCTATACACCTTCAAGATGTTCGAGCCCTTTTCTCCATTGCTAGCATGGTAGGGCGCCCTATTATGGTGGATGATAGAACTCTGAATGCAGAGTACCTCAACACTGCAAGAATTCTTGTTGATATCGACTTGTGTTCAACTCCTCCAACTGAAGTTAAGGTCAGAATTCAAGAGACAGTATTCTCCTTTCCAGTTGAGTATCAAAACCTGCCCAAATATTGTGGGAATTGTAAAAGATTTGGCCACATTTGTAAATCTAGAACGCTCCCCGTCAGAAAACTCCCCACCGGCGGGAAATTATTATCAGGGGGACATACGAAGGGCTCTAAAGAAAGATGGAGCCAAGTGGGCCGAAAATCCAATGCCAATAAGAAGAGGACAATAGTTAAAACAAAGACCCAAATCCAAGGAGAAAAGGTCCAAATTAATAATGGCAAACCCACATCTGTTTCTAAAACTAGATGGGGAGAGGGGGGCCCTTCAAAGCTGGCTTCTTCATCTTGGCAGGTCCAGGGAATCCGACAGGAGGATAAGGTTAATAGGTCTTCTACAGACCTACTTGCGAAGGACCCACCACAGACATCCTTGCGGAATACGCCGGCAACTTCTCCAAAGAATTTCTCGTCGGAAGAAAGTATTAACCTCACTGATCTCACAGAGGACTTTTGCAAAGAGGAACATACTGAAGATCCTTTCTTTGATTGCTTGGAAATTCCACAAATGGAGGATATGCGTGATCCTATTTCAAATATCTTTGAAAAGGGAAGCAGGGATGATATTTGGGTTCACACGCAGAGGTACAGTTCTGGTGACTTCATGAGGGAATGTCTGGAACTGAAAGCTATTCCAGAAGTCTGTATGCACTCGGAAACTGATGACCAGGAAGCCTTTGATAAGTCTGAATTAAGGAGCTTGGATATAGTTATTCCTAAGGGAGGTGGACATGCACTCACTATCCCCAGAGCTGAACGAAAATCTAAGGAAATGCCTTTAAAGCTTTCTGTCCAAACCAGGGGAATGAAAGCAGCTTTAGCTTCTGCTCAGTGGGTTAGTCAATGAAATGCCTCTTCTGGAATATTTGTGGTGTACATAGTTCTCTACCTAGACTGATTTCTTTGGTAAAGCTTCATAAACCAAAATTTTTTTCTATTTTGGAACCTTTAGTTAAAGAAGATAAGATTGCCAATTATGCCATTAAACTGGGGTATGGTGGGAATACCTCGGGTCTACACAATAAGGCTTGGCTTTTTTGGAATAATAGTGCTCTGGATTTGCAAAAATGTAGGGAGGAAAATCAGATCATTACTTGCAAATTTACCTGTTTAGATTCAAGCAAGGTAGTTTTTATCTAGACGGTTTATGGGAAACATACTGAGAAGGAAAGGGAATCCCTACGGAATTCAATGGGGATGCACAAGCAAGCTGAGGAAATGTGGATTATAGGGGGGGACTTTAATGTTGTGGCCTCTCTGGTTGAACACAAAGGGAAAGTGAGCCCCTCCACAAAAGGCATTTTGGAATTCTCGGAATGTATTGAACGTTGTGGGCTTAACAATCTTGAACCCGTTGGTGGGGTCTTCACTTGGACTGGTAATAGAAGTCATGGAAGGCTTTGGAGACGTCTTGATAGAGCCTTGGTTAATAACGCTCTCTTGGCCATGTATGATGTGATCACTCTATCACATTTGAGTAGAGCAGGCTCTGACCATAAGCCCATCCTTCTTAGTTGCTTCAATAATCAATTCTGGGGTCCTAAGGTTTTCAGATTTCAGAACTGCTGGCTAACTCATGATAACTTCTCTCCACTTATTAATGATTTTTGGAAGACTGAGCCTAACATTGGGGGCATGTTTGGCTTTGCGGCTAAGCTCAAGAAACTTAAGAATGTTCTCAAGGAATGGAATAAAACCACTTTTGGGGATATCTTCAGCAGCATTAATCAAGCAGAATTGAAGGCCCAAGTAGAACAAGAGAATTTTGAAAACAGCCCAACTGAGGAGAACAGATCCAACTCCAACCTTGCAGCAGCCAATTTACTACTGGCCAGTAAGAGAGAGGTGCTCTTTTGGAAGCAAAAGTCCAACATCACCTGGCTTAAAGAAGGCCATGTTAACAACAAGTTCTACCATGCTTATGTTAAGGGAAGAAGAGCAAAACTAAGAATCAATTCTGTTATGGATGAGAACGGAAAGAAGATTGTCAACCAAGATGAAATTGGGGATAATGCTGTGGAGCACTTCACAAAGCTTTACCATTCTGAAGGTAATGAGGTTTTAGACCCTATTATCAAACACATCCCAACAGTACTTAGTAAAGAAGATAACCTCTTGTTTACTAATATTCCCTCCATGGAAGAGGTTAAGGCAGTGGGCCAGATGGGTTTAATGGCACTTTCTAGAAGCATTGTTGGGACACCATCAAAAATGACCTATGGAAAGCCTGCCAAGAATTCTTCTTAGGAGTGAAGGTCCCAAGTTCATACGGAAGCACCCTCATCTCATTCATACCAAAAAAAGATGGACCAACTAGATGGCCTGATTACAGACCTATTTCACTATCCACATTTATGAGCAAGATTAATACAAGGCTGGTGGCAAATAGACTGAGCATCCTACTTCCCAAAATTATAAGTCAAGAACAGGCAGGGTTCCAAAAGGGTAAATCTGTAGATGATCAAGTTTTGCTGGCACAAGAGTTGGCACACCGGCTTCATAAGAATGCTATTGGTGGAAATATTATCATAAAGATTGATATGGCCAATGCTTTCGATAGAGTTAGTTGGGCGTATCTCCAGGGAGTTTTGAATAAGCTGGGCTTCAATGATCTTGCTGTGAAAATACTTATGGGCACATCTTTTCCTCCAGGCTCTCTATTCTCATAAACGGATCCCCAAAAGGTTTTATTAGTATGACTAGGGGAGTGAAACAAGGTGATCCACTCTCCCCGCTCTTATTCATCATCGCAACAGAAGGATTTAGCAGAGCTTTACACCATAGTATTAACTCGAGATTTCTTAAACCCTTTAACAGTGGAAGGGGGCTGGTGGTCTCAAACTTATGTTATGCTGATGATTTGGTTGTTTTTATTCACTCAGGTAAAAGAAATCTCTTGAGATTCAGATCTATTCTTAATGATTTTCTCGTGGCTTCTGGACAAGAGGTTAACTACAGCAAGAGCAGATTCTATGTGCACAGCAAGACGAGGAGTTCCAAAACTACAGAAACCGAGAGATTGCTGGGCATTAAAGGAGGAGTCTTGCCTTTTCTGTATCTGGGGGCACAAATTACTAAAGGTCAACTGAGGAAAGAGGACTGCTCTCATATCCTTAATCATTTTGATAAGCTTATGAATACATGGTATAGCAAGACCCTTAACCCCATTGGAAGGCTGATTCTCATCAAACACGTACTTTCCTCCATACCTTTACACCTTATTTCGGTAAGTGCTCTCCCCAATTCCATTATCAATTGTTTGCATAGAAAAATGGCAAATTTTCTTTGGGGCTATAAAAATGGGAGGAAAAAACAGCACTGGAAGTCTTGGAGCAAAATTTGCAGGCCTAAAAATGAGGGAGGTTTAGGTATCAGGGACCTCAATGATGTACAAAATGCTTATTCCATTAAGCTCATATGGAAATTACATAGCAATGATACTCTCTGGAGCAGGTATATGCACGCAAAGTATATCACAAACAGGGAGGGGTATGAGATAATGCTTCCAGATTCTCGATGCTGGAAAAGAATCTGCAGGGCTTACAAGAATATGCTTGATAAGGATATAGTAAGGGCTTTCAAGATGAAAGACGCATATGACATGGTAAGAGACTGCTCTACCCCCCTTCTCTCACACAAGTATATTTGGAACAGTCTTCTCCCAGGCAAAGTGCAACTACTCTTATGGAAAGTATTTAATGGTAGTGTCCCCTTCCCTGAAAACTTGCGAAGAATCCAGACACATTTGGCCACGCGTTGTTGCTTGTGTAAGGAGGCTGAGGACAGTTTGAATCATACTTTAGTGGAGTGTCCCTGGACGCAGGAAATTTGGAGACACTATGCTTTGATTTTGGATGGGCCACTTTGGAGGGAGGGAATTACCCTTAGACAACACCTCCTAGAGTGGTGGTTCTCGGCTAAAGCTTTGAACACTAAAGGGGTTCTTCGCAGTCTAGTCCCAGGTTTTATCACCTGGGCTATTTGGAAACGGTATGCAGCTTGTGTGTTTGGGGGGAGCCAATTCAAATGAGGGATATCTAGAATGAAATTACTCATCAAATGCAGTTTTGGTCTATGGCACACAAGGGAAAACTTCGGTCATCGGGAGAAGAGGATCTTCAGATGCTTGGGTTTTTGGGTTTTTGACATTGTAGAACTCTTAATCTGTATTGTTTTCTTTCTTTTATTTCTGTACTTTGGTTGCTTGCCCTGTTTGCCTGGCTTGGTGCCCTTTTTTTAATCAAAACTTTTCTTTATATATATATATATATATATATATATATATATATATATATATATAATTTTATATATAAATTTTTTATTAACTAGTTTGAAGGTACACGTTTGGGGAGGACATGACCAATGCCCCAAAAGTAAGACAAATAGCAAAATTATAGACAGAATGACGTAAGGGAAAAACAAAAAGAGCTTTGCAAGTCATCAGTCTCCTTCTTCATTGGCGTTTTGATTCCTCCGAGCCATATTCAGACATAATTGGAGTCCCTGTGCTGTGAGTGTCTCATCTCTTATCATCCAAGCTTTTTTCATGTACTTCGAGCACCAAGAATTGATCATTGCCTTGATGTCCATTGTGATTGAGAAGAGGTTTACCGTTTCATTTCCGAAGGTCGTGGCTGCATACTGTTTCCAGGTACACCAAGCAATCACTCCTGGGAGTATGTTTCTAAGATTGCCCTTAATTGTGTTAGCTTGAGATCTCAGCTGCCATTCCATCAGGTATTGATTTAAGCTAATCTCCTCCCTCAGTCTTGGTCCATCTAATATAGTTGCATAAAAGCTCCAAATGTTCTTGATTTCATCACATTGTAGTAGGCAGTGGTTCATATTAGCTTCATTCTTCTTGCAGAAGGGACATTGAGAAGGCATGTGAACTTGGAATCTGATTAAATTTTATGGGAAAGGTAAGATCTCATTAGTTATTTTCCACAAGAAAAATCTCACCTTTGGAATTTGTAGGTTGCTCGAGTTCAACTTGTCCCTTAAGGATATAACCCCTGAATTCCTGCAGCATTCATAGGCCTCTTTTAAGGGAATAGAAGTTGGATCATCTTCCAAGTCAGGTGCAATGTCCCCTAAAAGCTCCTCAGCAATCCCATGTATTCTACAGATTCTTTTTCTAACGGGTGAGTCAATAACTTTTTCCTGAAAATTTTATGTGCTGTATTTGTGCCTCATGAATCTTGCCCACAAACTGTCACTGAATCTGAAGTTCCACCATAACTTGATTGAGTATGCTTGTTGAAGATCGTTAAGATCTCTAATTCCAAGTCCTCCTTCTGTTGTAGGGGTGCATAAATCCTTCCCATTTTTCCAGTGATATCTTGGCTTGTTTTTATCAACTCCCCATAGGTAATTGCTCATCATGGAGTGTAGAGTGTTGATAACAGACTTCGGAAGAATGTGCACAGCAATCAGATGTAGGGGGATAGAGCTAAGTACATTCTTGATTAGGATTAACCTCCCCATAGGATTTAGAGTTTTGCTATACCAGCTCTCAATGTACTTTCTAAAGTGCTCAGTAACCATCCCACAGTCCCTTCTTTTCAGTTTCCCCTTACAGATTGGGGCTCCCAAGTATTTGAACGGTAAAGCTCCATGTTTCATACCCAATCTGTCCTCTATTTTAGGTATTGAGTCATGCTTGACACCCTTTCCACAATAGAATCTGCTCTTATTCAGGTTTATTTCTTGGCCTGAGGCTGCCATAAACATCTGAAGGACCTCCTTAATTCTAGTCATATTGCCAAGACCCCCATTACAAAAGATAATAATATCATCTGCATAAGCCAAATGACTTATAAGTAGGTCCCTTCCTGTGTTAAATCATTGAAGATAGTTTGTATGCATGAGGTGCTTAATCATTATGGACAACCCTTCTCCTGCTATGATGAAGAGCAGTGGGGAGAGTGGGTCCCCATGTTTTACCCCTCTAGCCATCTTAAAAAAACCCTTTGGACTGCCATTTATCATAACTGAGAAATGAGTAGCTTTAAGATTAGCCATCAGTAGGTGTTGTGCCTGATCTGTGAAGCCAAAATTGTGTAAGATGCCTTGTAGGTACTCCCATTCCAGATAATCAAAAGCCTTGGCCATGTCCAACTTTAAAATTGTATTACCCCCTCTAGTTTGGTAGTCCATTTTGTGAACAAATTCTTCAACCAGAAGTATCTGTTCCTCTATACCTTTTCCTCTCTGGAAGCCTGCCTGTTCAGGGGATATAATCTTAGGTAGGATCCTTTGTAGCCTGTCTGCAAGAATTCTAGTAGAGATCTTACTCATGAAGGTGGATAGGGATATAGGTCTGTAATCCCCCAAGTCTTTAGGAATATCCTTTTTAGGGATAAGACCTATGAAAGTAGCACCATAACTTTTGGGAATGGGGATCCCCAAGAAGAATTCTTGCGTAGCACTAATAACATCTTTCTGAATAATTTCCCAATAGGTCCTAAAAAAATAACCATTGAAGCCATCTGGCCCAGGGGCACTATTAGGGTTGAGAGACCAAACTGCATTTTTAATTTCCTCAGAGTTTAGAATCTTGCACAAGTTTATATTGTCCTCATGATTGACCAGAGCTTCAATATATTGCATGACAGGTTGTAAGAGGATCTCTTTTCTATGGTTAAAGAGATTCTCAAAGTATTCCACAGCTTGTTTATTGATCAGCTCCTCTTCTGTAATTTCTTTCCCATCCTTATCAGAAATAGATCTGATTCTATTTTTGGATCTCCTACCTTTTACAAACGAGTGGAATAATTTTGAGTTTGAATCTCCCTCTTCCATCCATTTCTGATTAGCTTTTTGCCTCCAATAGCTGACCTCATTATCACATGCCAAAATGAGTTTGGCTCTGGCTTTATTGTCTTCTTCTCTGTTTTTCTCACTAGGATCCTGTTCATAGGCTTGTTGAGCTTGTACAGCTGCTTCCTCAGCCTTCTTAAGATTTAAGAAAATGTTTCCAAAAAAACTGATGTTCCATTTGTTAGAGTTGTGCCCTGATGGCCAACTGTTTATCATTATTCTATTATGTATAGGCAGATATAATATGTTTACACATCTCATGCTAATGTAAACAAATATTATATTCCTAGATTTATTTTTAAAGATGTTTATGAGATAGTGTTATTCTGCCGATGAGACTAACATCTTGAAATAAATATTTATCTAAATGTCCATAGTCGAGTATTAACGAGAGTGGGATATCGTTAATGCATGTGAGACTAGTGTGTGTTGGATGTTTGACTTAGTCTCATGGTCAATGACGGTGTGTTTGCATCCGAACATGAGCAGATATTATCTAGAGATAATAGGATGCCGGACTGACCCATTCTAAAGATGTTGCTTGAATTTTTAATTCATGCTCTAAGCATCTTTAGCGCGACCACGGGTGTAACTATCCTTCGACTTGAAGTATTACGTTTTCTGCATATGTGAACCTGCATACTTTGATGCATTGTCCTAAGCCATATGAAATAAGGATGGTATACAGGCTTTGTTTTGGGTATGCCGCAGCGCGTATTCAGAAACGTAGATTACGTACATAGGATTTGTCACTACTCTTTTTAAAGATATTAATGTCTTCTGGGGCCCACTGATAAGTTATGACTAAGGAAATTGCATGGCCATGCTGAGATGCTTTTATGACGTCTGTTCCTATTAGTCGGACTTGATAAATCAGTGAATGACTTAATGGATACAAGTTGGATTTTATTAATCCCTTGCATTAAGTTTAGACATTGAGACAAAGGGATACAGTTACACGGAGTCTGAGTCGTGGAAAGGTTTTGACGGTGCAAACGTCTTAACTTATAATCTGGGGG